GAAAACTCAAGACTATTTCTAAAATATTGGAAATAGGTAATGATTAATACATTAATAGTACAGCCATCAGCAATGGGTTCCTAACATTGCTCACTGACAACCCCAGAACCCATCCATCTGATGGAAGGAAAGAACCAATTCCTGAGAGGTGTCCTCTAACCATGACATGTGTACTATGGCAGGCACACACACACACATATAAGTGTAATTTTAAAAAGAACCTAATCACAACATATATCTAAATATATACATCTAAAAAAGAGTATGTATCCTCACTAACTAGAAATATACCCACAAAGTACCCACAAGACATAGAAATTTAATTTTAAATGAATATATTGTTTTTATACATTCTTTTGTTTCTTTACAATCATTTTACAATAGCTTAGCTATATAGCCTATGAGGACCTCACCTTTTCCTTTACCATACACATTTACCAGCAGTATTAGCAATCACCATACACAATGTTTAAGAAAGATGTTCATTTCAAAAATAGGAATAGCCCAGTGAGATCAAATATTAATAGCAAATGGTCATTACACAAAAATATAAGCACAGGTGAGGACTGAGATTACCATTCCCCAAAATGAAACAAATTACTCATATTTATGCTCCACCACCATGTAAGCAATGGAATATTTACAAATGTTTTATGCTATAACCCCCTTATATGTGACTATAATATGAACAAATGAATGAAACGAAGGAATATCTGAGTGATGACACAAAACGATGAGATGGCCACAATGTGAAATACAAAGAAAGATGACCTGAATACAAATAAACTAGTTGAAATCAAACCTGGTTCACTGTAAAGACGCAGGACTTTCTATCTGTAGAACAAAGAACCTCAACCCAAAGCACACACAGCTACTAAAATAGTCAAATCCAGTTAGCCAGCCTTAAGATGCAACATTTTTTACTCTGTAACCCCCTCTCTCACACACATATACATACAAAAAAAAAACCCTATTTTCTTGTGTTTGGCACTGGGGAATCAATGAATCAGAGCAAAATACACATTTTTAAAAAGACCAATTTGCTCATATTCCATTTAAGAGCAACAAACAACCACTTAAAAACTTAGCCTTTTAAACAGCATCCTTATATAAAGTGGGGTGTGGGGGGAGCCCTTCCATACATAGGAAGCAGTTTAAACCAACACAACCGGCCAATCAAAATTAGTGAATGCACTGCATCTCTCTGCAGTGGGGAGAAGCGGCAAGGTAGGCTGTCACTCTGCAAAAGCTGCTCGGAGCAGACTCTCTGAAGAGCAGCGTTCCTTTTCAGAAAGACTGGATCTAAAGGCTGCCTGGAGACAAGAAGCCTTCAGTATGCTGAATTACTTTCATTACGTATTTTCAGATGCCTATTGACTCCACAGTAGGAAGAGTGAGGGACTGCAGCCGAGAAGCCGTACTGTTGCCCGTTCTATACATTAGCGGACTGCTGAAACAATGGCACAGGACAGACACATTCTCATTAAGGTCATTCTGGAGAGGTTTTTATGACCCTCTTCCCTGAGCCCTCTACTAACAAATGAACAAAATGAAACAATCAAAACTGGAAATGCTTCAGTGGTCAAATCTTTGGCAGAGGTAAGATGTGTTCCTTATTATAGTGGACAGCTGCTTTTGAAGCAGCAGAATGGGGTAAAATTACTTTGGAATTTTTAGCCTAAGTTTTTAAGTTTGCTTGTTTTCCTATACTTATTGGTAAACAGGAAATTTTTTAATTTACTTCTATTAAGATGTGATATATTTTAAATGTAATTTTATGGTGTACTGTTAAATCAAAAACTATTCTGATGTCTATAATTTACTCCAAAGACATTAGCTCTTAAGTCATTTTGGATACACCAAATATTTTTAATGTCACTAGTATACCATTTCTCAAGTGCTAAAAAAAGGTTTATATTTCTTATAAGAAGCTAGCTTACTATTTAGATGTTTTATGTTAAGACTGTGATCAGGCATGTTCACTGAAAATTATTAATTTGCACTTAAGATTTTTTTACTACTGTTTACATTTCACCCACATGAGTATATCATAAAAAGAGATTTATAGTATCTTATCGCAGAATCTGTTTTAATGAGTTAAAAGTTCAAGCCATGTGCTAATAACTAAGCAAGCTGCAATATTTCCCAGCATGCAGGACGTGTTAAATTTATTACCGGGGGTAATGGCAGTCTGTTTAGTAAATACTAACTGTTCATAATCTCTAAATATTCAACTTAGCTTCTAAAAGAGAAGAAAAATAGTTTAAGATTTCAGTCTTTCTCAGACTATGTTTAATGCTCACTCTGCTGCTAAATAGGGTAATATATGCCATCTTTATTATGAAAAGGGAATTTTATTTTAAGAAACTTCATTTTATGACTATAGCTGTGCCTACTGCAATACACTTTGCTTATTTTGAGAACAAATTCTAGATGGTTTTAATTTTTTTAATTAAAGTAACTTGTACTTAATTCAAAATTATTAGGAATCCTATTTCTCAATCTTTTTCACCTTTTTCACAAGGGCCCACAACTAACTCCACATATACCACTGACGATATGAAGAACGCAACTGCCTGAGAAGCTCTCTAGCTTCCGAACCACAAGCTGCTAGATATTCTTGTAACACAGGACTGTTAAGGAACTAAGGAGTTAACGCCTCGGATTAGCTCGGCTGGAACGTAACAAGCTGACAGCATCCCGTGAAGATGCTACACAGAATAACCACGAAAAGGAAAAAAAAAATAGAATTGTAAAAGCCTAAAGACCACGGGAAAATGTTTTAAAAGGGAAGGTCTAGCACTTTAACACAGCAGAATTATGGACACTATTGGATTCTGCAGGAACCCGTGAAGCAAAACCTTCAAAGGGAAAACAGCATGACATATCAGTAAGCAAACGAAGCTTTAGCAAGTGTTTTCTGTACTATCCAGATATTCACAGCAATTGATTTGACTAATAGAGTTTTCCATCTGAGCTTTATGACCAATTATGTATCCTCTTCTAATGAGAACAAACCAAATTAAATAGCAGATGGTTTTTATCAAAAGAGCATGTACTGGATTTATAATATAAAGCAAATTATGTGATCAAGAAATCATTTTGAAATAATGAGAACTGCTGCAGAAACAGACTGCAAACAAATGGATTTCTAAATGCATTTTAGGAGCTAGAGACATTATGTTTCCTTTTCTGTTTTCACATACTCTGGAAAACAAAGAGACACAACCTACATTCTTTCAAAAAGGAAGTGTAATTTCTATCATTTGATGAAGTTTCGTTTGTCCATGACTTTCTGAGGAGGGGAAAAAAGACCACGAAAATTGTGTGCTGTTCTTTAGAAATCCATCAGCCAACTAAATCTCACAATTTGTACAGCTGAAGTACTCAAATAACAAAAGAATGAATTCCTGCAAGACATGAAATAAAACACACTGTTATCAGAGAAAAAAAATTCATGTCAAAATTGTCAATGACATCATGTATCAATTTGTGGAAAACTACCATGGTGAGCCAAAAGGCCCATAAGGCAGCAGCAAACAGGTAGGTCAGAAGATGCATGCACGCCCATGGGCGGAAATAAATTGGTTTCTTTCAGTGCTCGTACTTGTCATTCTGCTTTATTAATTATAAGTGCGATGTGACAAAACAAAGACCTGGTGTTCAGTCTGTCAGTTCAGAAAACTTGGCGCTCTTATCATTTTCCATTTTTATAGGATTTCAGTAAGCTAATCCATTTTATATGAATAAATATGTGTCTTGTAATACCCTTTATGGCTCAAATGAAATTAATGTTGTCATGTTTCTGAAATAGTGCCCTAAAATAACAAGCCTAAAGTTGTCAAAGGTAACATCAACTAAAATGTCATTATGAATTTTGAAAGTTATTGGGTTTTATACTTCAGGTTGGAATAATTTGCAGTTTAATTGCTATACTGAGATGTGAAATATACTTGCATGTATAAATTCATGTTTTAAACTGAATTTTAACTTTAAGCTGTTCAGTGTAGACCTCTCAGAAAAATCAGATACATTTTTATAAATGACTCTAAACTCCCAAAATACTTATTTGAATGAATGTTCACTTCAGAATTTTTCTTCAAAATTATTCACTGTCTGATGTGAACCAAATGTCTCGCAGGTAAAGTGAAAGTTAAAAGCCTCCTCAAAAAATGGATGTCAGAATATTCTTTGGAATTTCAATTTTTACCTCACAAATTAAACAAAATAATACATTAATAAAACCATTTCAAAATCATCTACTTCTTACTATGTATCAAATTTCAACTTCCTCTTTCTACAGCACACCAGAGGGTGTGGTTGCAAAACACATCAGCCATAGGAAAGCTTTTTACTAAGCTTGTTGCTTTTTACTTTAGCATACTGTCTTCTTTCCCATTTTTTAAAGTCTACTGTAAAAATGTAGTGGGCATATTTACATGATGTACAAAATTCCCATCGGTTGCCTCTTTGAGGAATGACCTCAGTGTCCACATTGGCGTGGGTAAGACAGCGTGCAATGGAGACAAACTGGTGCGTGGGCCACTGTTCTTACTTTAAATCTGAGGAGTCACCGTGCTAGAGCACATGAAAATAGCATTTACCTTCCATCCACTCATAGCACTGTTTAAGTGAAATCTTAAACCATTGGACCAAAATTAGTTTTTCACACTAACTAGTGCTCTTATTCAGATGCATAATTTCTTTAAAAATAAAACCTTAGTTATTTCCAATGAAGTAAACCCTTGTAGTATGAATAGTAATTCTGCACTACAGAGAAATGATCCCCATATGGTTATTTCTTCAAAAAGAGAAAACACCAAAATCAATGCAGGCTTGATGTTTCCCAATTCTACATTTTGCATCAATAGCTTACAAAATTAAAAATTAAACTAAGTACATGATAAAAAGATATTTTTGTTTACAAAGAATACACATCTTATATGTCACATAAACTGCCAAATATCAACTATTCTATTTTGTTTTTCAGGGGAAACACCAACTGTTCCAAAAGAATGTGTTTTTCTCCTGTTCTGGAAATCAACATGCAGTCTGAATCAAACATTACAGTGCGAGATGACATTGAGGACATCGACGCCAATATGTACCAACCACTATCATACCCATTAAGCTTTCAAGTGTCTCTCACTGGATTTCTCATGTTAGAAATTGTGCTGGGACTTGGCAGCAACCTTACTGTATTGGTACTTTACTGCATGAAATCCAACTTAATCAACTCAGTCAGTAACATTATTACAATGAATCTCCATGTACTTGATGTAATAATCTGTGTGGGATGTATTCCTCTGACTATAGTGATCCTTCTGCTCTCACTGGAGAGTAACACTGCTCTCATCTGCTGTTTCCATGAAGCCTGTGTTTCCTTTGCAAGTGTTTCGACAGCAATCAACGTTTTTGCTATCACTCTGGACAGATACGACATCTCTGTAAAACCTGCAAACAGAATTCTGACAATGGGCAGAGCTGTAATGCTAATGACATCCATTTGGATTTTTTCTTTCTTCTCATTCCTGATTCCCTTCATTGAAGTAAATTTTTTCAGTCTTCAAAGTGGAAACGCATGGGAAAACAAGACACTGCTGTGTGTCAGCACAAGTGAGTACTACACTGAGCTGGGGATGTATTATCACCTTCTGGTTCAGATCCCCATCTTCTTCTTCACAGTAGTAGTGATGCTCATCACATACACCAAGATACTTCAGGCTCTTAACATCCGGATAGGCACCAGATTCTCAACAGGGCAGAAGAAGAAAGTTCGGAAGAAAAAGACAATCTCTCTAACCACCCACGAGACCACAGACATGTCACAGAGCAGTGGTGGGAGAAACGTGGTCTTTGGTGTGAGAACTTCAGTCTCTGTCATAATCGCCCTCCGGCGCGCTGTGAAGCGCCACCGGGAACGACGAGAACGGCAGAAAAGAGTCTTCAAGATGTCTTTATTGATTATTTCCACATTTCTTCTCTGTTGGACACCAATTTCCGTTTTAAATACCACAATTTTATGTTTAGGCCCAAGTGACCTTTTAGTAAAATTAAGATTGTGTTTTCTAGTCATGGCTTATGGAACCACTATATTCCACCCTCTCTTGTATGCATTCACCAGACAAAAATTTCAAAAGGTCTTAAAAAGCAAAATGAAAAAACGAGTTGTTTCCATAGTTGAAGCTGATCCCATGCCTAACAATGCTGTAATACACAACTCATGGATAGACCCTAAGAGGAATAAAAAGGTCACCTATGAGGGCAGTGAAGTCAGGGAGAAATGTTTAGTACCTCAGGTCGTCACAGACTAGGGAGACGTCTAAGCTTCACCAAATCTACATTCAGAAGAGTTTTAAATTTAAATTGTAAAAACTGATTACTGCCAAATGTAAGAGAAAAACATTCTCAGTATTGGTTATGTTGTAAATTTTCAATGTGAATGTCAATTAGATTAGGTCATATATACTCAATTTCTTCATTATTTAATGTATTTGTTGCATGGCAGTTTGTTAAAAAGTAATATCATGTGTATATTGTCAATATTATGTCCATCAGAAGATACTCATGTAAGTCATATTTTCTAAAGAATAAATACATAGCCTTAAAACAGTGTATAACTTTAAAATGTAACTGACACAGGTATCTACATTTTTAAATGTATGAAACCTATTATTTCTAAGCCACAACCTAGATATATTTATATGAGAAGTTGCATAAAATTTAACACAAAAATTATAGTCTCAGAACAATCAAGGGAAGATTTTCTGTACCACTATGTTATATTTCTGTTATGATAAACTTGTTATTATATTTTAACAAAAATAATGAACTATATATAAACCTTATTCTTTCTTATATATAACACTTATGTGGGCAACCATAGACTACATTAGTATTTTAAAACCATGAACCAATTAATAAATCAATTCTGTATATGCACACAAAATTAGGGAAATTTTTCTAGTTCAAGCTTATTATATAAAAAGATTGAATTCTATTACAAGGATGATATGCCTGTAATACAAATGAACCAACAATAAAGGGAGGGAAGAAAGCTACATTAACACCAGCCTTGTTCCTTCACCCTCATTTTGCCTGATTCTACACCAAATATTCTAGGTTATGAGGAAATACTGGTTTTAAAAACTGCAATAAAATAATTTTTAATTTAATAACAACTCTACCATTTTTGTATAACAGAAATTAACCACGTAATAGGGAAGACTGAGCAGAGGAAAGAGAGGCTCCTTTCTGTCAACTGTAGAAAAGCCTAACAAAGGCAGCTGTTTCTAATTTTAGATTCATTGCAACTTATGTGTGGTAGAATTTATACAATGTTCCTTCGGAGTCACCTATGGTAGAATTTATACAATGTTCCTTCCTAGTCACCTGTGGTAGAATTTATACAATGTTCCTTCTTAGCCTTCAAACTACAGCAGCTCTGTTTCCACTCTCCAGGTGATTAAAAGCAACAATAAACTGTGTCACATTTCTATCCACCGCCATGTCACTTGAGCATTTTTCTCTCAAACCCTCAATACATGTTAGAAAATGATTACTAATTGTAATTATAGATTGTAAGGAATATGAATAATTTTGTAACAAACAAGAATTTATTACTTGCTATAATAATCTGGCAATCTGTAGTAATAATACTTAGCAACAATTTATTTAAAATAGGTAAAATACCTACTATATATATATATTACAACCAGTTAGTTTAACAAGAATTATTCTATATTTTAAATACTATATTCAATAAATGAAGTAAAATCATTTTTTAAATTTAAAATCTCATGTTAAACAATTCATTATCTATCATTTTTATACAGATAAATGAGATTCATTTAATCAACTTTACTGACTAGCCTAATCCCTAGGAAAAAGAGCATGCTACAGGAGCTTGAAGTCACTAAGGTTTCTGGCAAGCTAAACTGATTATTTCTGATAATAATGCTAGCGTGTCAAAACTTGGCAAAGACCCGCTTTCCTACTGCTTTACGAAATTAAAGAAATACTGCAGTTTGACAAAATGTAACATAATCGATTAATTTTTTTAAACCCTAAAATTAAGACTTAATGGTGTTAAGAAATTTTTCACTCAATAAATGCATTTGGCTTACAATATCTAACACCTTAACTAAAACTTTTAATGCATTTTGTACCTGAACTTCCAAGCATGACTTAAAATATTAGCACCTAGATTTATAATCTTAATTTTAAAAACTAGACTACTTTTAGTGTTCATGTTAAGAAATACCTTCACTGTTTTTCAGTACTTTTAATCATAAGGTTTAATAAGCATTACAAAGAATTTAGTATAAAAAGTAAGTTTCTGCCATGTTGGCCTAAGAGTTTCATGCATTCTGATCTTCTGTACTAAAAAAAAAAAAAATAAATAGCAATCATTATAACTTTGCCCTGTAAGCTGCTATTTGTGCACTGAGCATCAGAGAAACTATTAGGCATTTTGCCCTACTGTAACGAATTCTTGTAGGATAAAAGTGTACACCTATTGATTTATAACAAGCAAAATCTACACTTCCCATACCTCACAGAAACCTCAAGTAGCTTTTAATGTGTTAAACATACAGTGTGTAAAAACCTTGTTAAAAAAAGAAAGAAAGAAAGAAAGAAAAAAAGAAAGAAAGAAAGAAAGAAAGCAAGCAAGCAACTGTTGATCTTGTGGTAAATGAGAACTTAGACGACCTTAAGTTTTCCTTGATTTTTCATTCCTCTATGGACAAACAGAAGCATTGTTTTCCTCAAGATGTCTTTTGCTTCAATGTGCAAATTCTTTACATTTCACTAGTAATTTTATTCCAAAAAGCATCCTTGCTAACTTTTCCTCTATTGAAAATACAATAGAGGCATGAGTTAATTTGTATGGACAACATCTTACAATTTTATTTTTATATCTATGTGCTTTCAATCTATGCTGTTGGGCAGAGATGCTACCTTCTATAGTCAATCAAGTTAACTATTCAAAGCATAAGGTTCATAAAATTCAGAAATTTGTATTGCCTTTCTTGTTCTATTGACAATTTAGTAAATTTATTACTTGACCAAAAAGCTATTCAAACTTATTATAGAGATTAAGTTTTTTTACAATTATGCTTTTTAAAAGACTCTATTCTATACTTGACAACAATGTCAGTCATATTAATGTAAGTTTTTCATCTCAAAAAGAGCTACAGCAAAACATCAGTTCTCCAGGTTAAAACTGTGGCTTCCCCAGTCAGTCAGGTGCTCCAATGGAAAAGCAATTGCCACACAAGTGTGATAACCCTAGTTTGACTCCTGACCCACATAAAGAAAAAGATTCCACAAAGTGGTCCTCTGACCTCCAAACATACTGGTCTTTAAACATGTATGTACACACACTCTAAATAAAAATATTTTGTAGTCAGACTCAGGAATAAACAATCTAAAATTTAAGAAAACAATCACTAGAATTTTATTGCACACAGAATCTGAGGCTATATTTCAAAGTGAAGGTATACATCAAGCACTGCTTATCAGAAATGCTTGGGATGGAGGATTTCAGATCGCTGTAGGTATTTTGGAATACCTGTATATATTTTATGGCATAACTTGCAGATGGACCCAATTCTAATTAAGAGTTTCATCTATTTCATAAACACATAATCTAAAGGTAATTTTATGCCATATTTTTAATGTGTCTGCATCTGAACTGAAACCATCACATTAGGTAAAGTGTAGAATGTTCCTCCTGTATCTTGTCCAAAAGGTTTCAGATTTAAGAATATATGGATTTTAAGATGAAAGATGCTTGAGATATCTTAAAAAGTGTAAAAGTACCTGAAAGAGGAGGAAGGTTGCAAAAGGTGATAAAAGAAGGATATTTTAAGAGACCAAAAGAGAAAACATTTATACTGAATTAAATAATAGCATAATAAAAGTACCACTGATGAAAACTACTACAGCATATTCCAGAAAAAAAATTGTTGTTTGGAAGGAAAGCTGTTTAGAAAGTTATCTTGGGGCCATTATACAAGGTCTGAAACACCAGCAGAAACACATGGGCAAGGGAACAAGAAAAGGACGAGCCTCCAAAATCACCAACAACAGAGTTAGAACGGGCTGAGGAGGGCTCAAAGAACAGGAGAGCATTGCCGTTGCCCTGATACTAGAGAGGGTCTGGCCAAAATGATTGCAGTAGCCCAGCAAAGTGCAAACACCTGGGACAGGCAGTTACAGCTACTTACAGCCACAATCAACAGGACACATGAGCAACCATGAAAAACAGATTACCTTCCATAAAGGAGATATTTAATTACACACTGTTCAAAGTACATAAACAACAAGGGCCAAATGGCAAGAATCTGGGGGTAGAAAATTCAATAAAGCAAAATGAATATTCCTCATGAATGTTTTTATTACCAGAAAATATTTAGACTGATGGATTTTTTTTGGAGTTTTTTGTTTTGTTTTGTTTTGTTTTCTTGGTTTTGGCTTTTGAGACAGAGTTACACTAACCCTGGCTGGTCTGGAACTAACTACACCAACCTGAATGGTTTCAAACTCAGAGACATCTGCCTTTGCCTTCCAAGCGCTGGGATTCAAGGCATGAACCACCATACCTAGCATCTAAGATAAAATTTTAAGACTGATTTTTCTAAATCATCTACTTTATATACCTTAGTTAATCCACTGCATCTTCCCACTAAAGCATCGTTTTGAATAGTTTCATTTATGGGGAATTAAAGAGTCCTGGTAAAGACCTGAGTTCCCGCACCACTTAAAATGAAGTGTGGTGGCACCAGCCTGGTCAGGAGGGTCAGAAGGTTACGAGGGTCATCCGTGGCTACACAGTGCTAAATACCGAGCTTAGGGTTAACCTGGTTACATGAAACCATTTCTCAAAAGAGAAACCACATAACGGCAACACATAATGCACATATAACAGAAAACAAAAATATCATCCTTTGCTTTTTTTATCCCAATAATTCATAGTGAGCATCTATTCAACTCACTATATTCACATCTTATTCTTTGTTAATGGCTGCATAGTTTTTTGTTGTTGTTTGGTTTTGTTTTGTTTTGTTTTAAGATAGGGTCTCACTATGTAGTTCTGGTTGTCTTGGTACTCACTCTGTAGACCAAGCTGGCCTAGAACTCACTGAGATCCATCTGCATCTAACTCCCAAGTGCTGAGATGAAAGGCATATGTCACTACTTCTGGCTCATAAATATAACATTTTAAATTAAGATTTTTAAAATACAGCAATATTAAGAAATACTGACAAAGTATAAAATAATTAAATCTTTTTTTATAGACTCAAATAGC